GGGAGAGAGAGAGAGGGATATGCAAACTCCGAATATACATCAGGCGTCAGGGTCGAAATCGAACCCGCGACCTTCTGTATATCAGGCGAGGTAGTTAACATCTCTACAGGGAGAGAGAGAGAGATATGCAAACTCCGAATATACATCAGGCGTCAGGGTCGAAATCGAACCCACGACCTTCTGTATACCAGGCGAGGTATTTAACATCTCTACAGGGAGATAGAGAGAGGGATATGCAAACTCCGAATATACATCAGGCGTCAGGGTCGAAATCGAAGTCACGACCTTCTGTATATCAGGCGAGGTAGTTAACATCTCTACAGGGAGAGAGAGAGAGAGATAAGGGACACGCAAACTCCAAATATACAGCAGCAGGCGTCAAGGTCAGGATAGAACCCACGACCTTCTGTATACCAGGCGAGGTAGTTAACATCTCTACAGGGAGAGAGAGAGGGATATGCAAACTCCAAATATACAGCAGCAGGCGTCAGGGTCAGGATCGAACCCACGACCTCCTGCATACCATGGGAGGTAGTTAACATCTCGCCAACACGTGTTAATAATAAAATGCAAAGGGGAAACGAGCGGGAGAGGGAAGGGAGGCCGGGATTGAATTCCCCAACCACCAAGACGGACAGAGAGGAGGAGGGCACATCTCAAGATGAGCGGCGGGGGGGGAGGAGGCAGGAGGAGCGCCGGGCGGGGATGGGAGGGAGGGGGGCGACCTCCTGTATACCAGGAAAGAGAGTCAACGACAGCAGCTTGTGCCAGGCTGGTGCCAACGCGCGCACGCAATTGCACAGCTGCCAGGAATCAACATCACTGATTGACAGCTCGTCTCATCCTCGCACACCACCGCCGCCTCCCACTCAACCGCCCAGATAACTCGATAAGTTGATAGCAGTGTCAGATTTCTCGCTGTTTAGCAACGGGCGTAGCAGCAAGTGTCTGTGTGCATTGTTCCATCCCAAATGTAAACACTCAGGCGGGACCCGCTGCCAGATGACAATAGTTCTGAAGGGTGCGTGTGTGGAGTGAGGAGCGGTGGCGCAGTGGTTAGCGACGCTGCACTACGATCCCGGCCACCCAGGTTCGATTCCCGCTTACGTCCAACAGCAGTGACGATTATCTGAACTCCCCTAGGTCGACTCAGCTTCAAATTAGTACCTGGTGCGGTGTGCAAACATTGCTACGATGGAGACAAAGGAGGTCGGGCGTGGTGCTGGCCACCCACCCTCTCTCGTATACCTTAATAGGTGCTCGCTAACAACCCTTGCTCCTACAGTCTGCTAAGCCTATAGTTAGCGACGCTACGCTACAATCCCGGATACCTGAGTTTGATTCCCGCTCACAGATGCAGTAACATCGGTGCCGATTGTCAGAGTCGGTCCCCTCATAAGTCAAGAGGTGGGTGGGTGAGTGGGGGGGGGGGAGTTCGGCAACAGAAATAACAAGTTAATCTTTTTTCGAATTTGGTAAAAAATAACACTCAATATTTCAAGAGCCACAATGCCATTAAAGAGCCGCACGTGGCTACAGAGCCGCGGGTTTTTCCTACTCCTGCCCGAAGTCCACTCAGCCTCAAATGAGTACCTGGTGCGGTGTGGAAGCATCCGTACTGGGGATACAAAGGCGGTCGGGCGTGGTGTTGTCCACCCACCCCTCCCCCCCCCCCCTAAAATCTTGACTTAAAGCTTTCGTGACTGCAGGAATTCATATTCTTTGGGTGGTCTTTCGGTAAAGTCACGTAGATAGGTTCAAATAAAATAACAACACAAAGCTATACTCTTAGTTCTTTCGGTAAAGTCACGTAGGTAAAAAATGAAATTAAAATTAATAAAAAATAAAAACAATAAAATCACAACGTTTCGGAGGCGACACAAGCTTCCGTCTTCCGAAACGTCGTGATTTTTATTTTTTTATTTTGTTATTAATTTAAATTTCATTTTTTACCTACGTGACTTTACCGAAAGAACTAAGAGTATGAATCCTTGCAGTCACGAAAGCTTCAAATCTAGAACACAAAACTACGACGTTTCGATCGCAACACAAGCGTCCTGATGACGAACGCTCGTGAAGAGGATATTCGACAGAACATCGCGGATGGTTCGTGCAGACGTAGAGCTTTAGCGTCCCCCTGTGGACGTGAACTTGCGCGTGAAATGGCCTGGGGCCGGCAGTTTGTTCGCGCGGTTCGATTACAGCGGGCCGGGCCTGCCGGCCGCCCTCGTAAATACTGCGGGTTGTTGTTTTGACCGCGACGACGGCACGCGCACGCGGTTTCACGGCGAAGGTCGAAAAATTTCCGCGACGTCAAAAAATGTCCTTCGCAGGAGCGGTGCCAGTGCAGGAATTTGTTAAACCGTTTAACAAATTACACCGCAAATTACCCTTTGATTTAAAGCTTTCGTGACTGCATGGATTCATATTCTTGGTTCTTTCGGTAAAGTCACGTAGAAGGAAAATAATAAAATAATATAAATATAAAACAATCTGGCAAACTGCCAAATCGCTGTCCGTGGTGCTGACGTTAGGAAAAACCACCACTTTTCCAAATTTTCTTTGCTGTGAATTTCACACCTGACGATGATTGCTTGTGTTGCAGTCGAAACGTCGTGAGAATTTTTATTGTTTTCTATTTAGATTATTTCCCTTCTACGTGCCTTTACCGAAAGAACCAAGAATACGCAAATTACTCGTTTGGCATTGAGCAGCAGCTGCAGCAGCAGCAAGCATCGCACCGCAATTGTACGAACGCTCAACAGAGAGAGAGAGCTCTCCTGCAAACGGAGTGATGAGACACAGCGAGGATTTCCTGCATGGGTATTAATCCACACGTCTCTCTCTAAATCAGCTCAAGCATATCGCACTTCACGCTACTCCCGTGTAGCCACCCTCAGCCCACCCCACACACACACTCCTCTCTCACCACTACTGGGAAGACAAAGGCGGCCGGGCGTGGTGCTAGCCACGCCACGGCAATCGTCTGTCTCGTAGCTCTTCATCAGTGCTCGTTGACAGCACTTATCCCAGCAAATCTATGTGTTTGTATGTTGCAGCAAAACCCAGATCTACGCCTCCCCCCCCCCCCCTCTTCATTTTAAGTCGTTTCGCAAACGCGTCGCCGCTTTAGTTACACCGCTACTCGATTCGCGTCGCCTCAACCCCACACATACGCCGCTGACAGCATCATCATCTGTCCCTTTCGCGTCATCCGTCGCCTCTCATCAGCATTCGTCTCCATCCACCACCACCACCTACCGACTTACCACGCGAATCGCTTCGATTTGACGTCGTTTCGATATTCAGGAACGCATCACCGACGTAAAGCGGGGTTTCTAAGGTACGATATGATGTTTATGTACATGCATGTATACCACATGGGCGGAATTTGGGGGTGGGGGGCATGGGGCGTCAATACCCCCTCCCCCCCAAATTAGAAACATTTATTAAATTTATTTTCAGTAGTTTACAATTCATGTTACAAATAAATACGGAAATAATATCATACCGTGTCAACCCATACGGTTCAACCCGTTACAGTATTCTTGTACAGGGGAAATTGAGTTTTCAGGTCCATACGATGTACAGCCGTTTCAATGCGGGCAAAAAAAAAATGTCTCTTTGTGTGTTTCTCTCCTTGTGATGGGATTTTGTAGGATGAACGTTGAGAATTATAAAGGGCACGGGGTGACCAATAAGGTCCGAATTGGTTTGTAGTAAGGTAGGGCACTGACAAGGGGTTGACAGGAATGTTTTCTGCATCCGCGATTCCTAATGCGAGGGACAAAACGAACCCCCACCCACCCCCAAGGTATAAAATACGCGCGTGCACATGGATACAGTTGCATGCGTACGGTGCGAAAGAAGTGCAACGTGCACACACAGCCAACACCAGTGACGATTATCTGAACTGGTCCCGGGCCTCCCCTAGGTCGACTCAGCCTCAAATGAGTACCTGGTGCGGTGTGTAAACATCGCCACTGGGGAGACAAAGGCGGTCGGGCGTGGTGCTGGCCACCCACCCCCTCGTGTACCGTTCCGGCCTTTATAGGTGCTACTCGCTAACAGCACTTGCCCCTACAGTCTGTTAAGGCTATATGGGGGATCTTTGTGTGCGTGTGTGTGTGCACGTGTGTGTGCGCACGTGTGTGTGTGTGCGTGTGTGTGTGTGCGTGTGTGTGTGGGTGTGTGCGTGTGTGTGCGTGTGTGCGAGTGTGCATGTGTGCGTGTGTGCGCGTGTGTGTGCGGGAGCGGTAGTGTAGCGGTTAGCGCGCTGCGCTATGAACCTGGCGACCCGGGTTCGATTCCCGCTCACGGCTAACACCAGTGACGATTATCTGAACCGGTCCTGGGCCTCCCCTAGGTCGACTCAGCCTTAAATGAGTACCTGGTGCGGTGTGTAAACATCGCCACTAGGGAGACAAAGGCGGTAGGGCGTGGTGCTGGCCACCCACCCCCTCGTGTACCGTTCCGGCCTTCATAGGTGCTCGCTAACAGCACTTGCCCCTACAGTCTGTTCAGGCTATACGGGGGATCTTTGTATCTTTTTGTGTGTGCGTGTGTGTGCGTGTGTGCGAGTGTGCGTGTGTGCGCGTGTGCGTGTGTGCCTGTGTGTGCGCGAGTGTGCATGTGCGTGTGTGTGTGCGTGTGTGTGCGTGTGTGTGTGCGTGTGTGTGCGCGTGTGCGTGTGTGCATGTGTGCGTGCGCCGCGTGTGAGTGTGCGTGTGTGTGTGTGCGTGTGTGTGCGCGTGCGTGTGCGCATGTGCGTGTGTGCGTGTGTCGTGTGTGCGTGTGCGTGCGTGCGCGTGTGCATGTGCGTGCATGTGTGTGCGCGTGTGTGTGTCGCGAGTGTTCAGCCCTGTCCGAGAGGGAGAACCCCCCCCCCCCCCCACCAGAAAATCGGATTAAGCCGCAAATCCTTCCCTTAAACAGTTCTAATTTTACCCGACCGTTGATGGTATTACTGGAAACACAACCCATCCTGCGCAGAGCCACACGGAGCCACACGTGGAGAGACACGGAGAGACACACATAGAGAGACACGGAGATACACGGAACCACACATAGAAAGACACACAGAGACACACATAGAGACACACAGAGCAGCACGTAGAGAGACACAGAGACCGTGCAAGAGACAGCCACACAGAGCCACAGAGACAAGATAGAACGACACAAAAAGAGACACACGGAGCTACGCAGAGACACCAAGAGACACACAGAGACACACAGACACACGGATACACACAGAGACACGGAGACACACGCAGAGACACGGAGACAGACACACATAGAGACACAGAGACACACACATAGACACATAGAGACACACGGAGACACGCACAGAGACACACACACAGAGACACACCCTCAGAGACACACACAGACACATAGAGACACATAGACACACACAGACACACACACAGAGACACACAGAGACACACAGAGACACACCATAGAGACACAGACACACACAGACACATATAGACACACACACAGAGACACACAGAGACACACAGAGACACACACACAGAGACACACATAGACACACACACACAGAGACACACAAAGACACGGAGACACACACAGAGACACACACAGACACACACAGACACATAGAGACACATAGACACACACAAACACATAGAGACACACACACAGAGACACACAGAGACACACCATAGAGACACAGACACACACAGACACATAGAGACACACACACAGAGACACACAGAGACACACAGACACACACACAGAGACACACACAGACACGGAGAAACACACACAGACACGGAGACACACACAGACACACACAGACACATAGACACACACAACAACAATACACGTGTATAAACTCGACGGCAAGGTTGTGCAACCTCACAAGTTTGTGAGTTATAACGCGACACAGGAGAAACAACAACAACAACAACAAAAGTCGGAAGAAAATCAACGCGGATCGACTGACTTCGAATCGCATCAACAACAACAACAAACAAACAACAACACACAAACGACAACAACAACCAAACAACAAACAAACGACAACAACAAACAAACCACAACAACAAACAAACGACAACAACAAACAACAAACAAACAACAAACAGACAACAACAAACAACAACAAACGACAACAAACAACTAGAAAAAAGAACAACCAACCGACATCAAACAGACAACAACGAACAGACAACAACAAACAACAAAACCACAAACAAACAACAACCGACAAACAAACCACAACAACAAACAAACAACAAACAACAACAAACGACAACAAACAACAAGAAAAAACAACAACCAACCGATAACAAACAAACAGACAACAACAAACAGACAACAACAAACAAACAACAAGCAACACCAACAAACAACAACAAACAACAAACAAACAACAACAAACAAACAACCAACAAACAAACAACAAACCTCGTCGTCGGTGTTCCATCTTCCTCGCCGTCGGCCCCCTGCGATGGCGTTCATGATCAAGTCGATGGTTGGAGGGCAGCTGAAGAACCTCACGGGGGGAGGAGGCGGCGGCGAGGAGGCGGCCGCCTCCGAGGGAGCCGCGACTCCGGCAGAGGCGCAGGGGATGACGCGGGAGGAGTTCGAGGAGTACCAGAAGCAGGTGGTGGAGGAGAAGTGAGTGAGGGGAGGGTGGTGAGGGGAGGGTGGTGAGTGAGTGAGTGAGGGGAGGGTGGTGGTGAGGGAGGGTGGTGAGGGGAGGGTGGTGAGTGAGTGAGTGAGGGGAGGGTGGTGGTGAGGGAGGGTGGTGAGGAGTGAGTGAGGGGATGGTGGTGAGGGGAGGTGGTGAGGGGAAGTTGGTGAGTAGAAGTGAGTGAGGGGGAGGTGGTGAGGGGAGGTTGGTGAGTGAGAGGAGTACCAGAAGCAGGTGGTGGAGGAGAAGTGAGTGAGGGGAGGGTGGTGAGGGGAGGTGGTGAGGAGTGAGTGAGTGAGTGAGAGGAGTACCAGAAGCAGGTGGTGGAGGAGAAGTGAGTGAGGGGAGGGTGGTGAGGGGAGGTGGTGAGGAGTGAGTGAGTGAGAGGAGTACCAGAAGCAGGTGGTGGAGGAGAAGTGAGTGAGGGGAGGGTGGAGAGGGGAGGGTGGTGAGGAGTGAGTGAGTGAGGGGAGGTGGTGAGGGGAGGTGGTGAGGGGAGGGTGGTGAGGAGTGAGTGAGTGAGTGAGAGGAGTACCAGAAGCAGGTGGTGGAGAAGTGAGTGAGGGGAGGGTGGTGAGGGGAGGTGGTGAGGGGAGGGTGGTGAGGGGAGGTGGTGAGGAGTGAGTGAGAGGAGGTGGTGAGAGGAGTGAGTGAGAGGAGGTGGTGAGGGGAGGTGGTGAGGGGAGGTGGTGAGGAGAGGTTGGTGAGGGGAGGGTGAGTGAGTAGTGAGTGAGGGGGAGGTGGTGAGGAGTGAGTGAGAAGTTGGTGAGGGGAAGTTGGTGAGTGAGAGGAGTACCAGAAGCAGGTGGTGGAGGAGAAGTGAGTGAGGGGAGGGTGGTGGTGAGGGGAGGGTGGTGAGGAGTGAGTGAGAGGAGGTGGTGAGGGGAGGGTGAGTGAGGAGTGAGTGAGGGGGAGGTGGTGAGGGGAGGTGGTGAGGAGTGAGTGAGAAGTTGGTGAGGGGGAGTTGGTGAGTGAGAGGAGTACCAGAAGCAGGTGGTGGAGGAGAAGTGAGTGAGGGGAGGGTGGTGGTGAGGGGAGGGTGGTGAGGAGTGAGTGAGGGGGAGGTGGTGAGGGGAGGTGGTGAGGAGTGAGTGAGAAGTTGGTGAGGGGGAGTTGGTGAGTGAGAGGAGTACCAGAAGCAGGTGGTGGAGGAGAAGTGAGTGAGGGGAGGGTGGTGAGGGAGGGTGGTGAGGGGAGGAGAAGTGAGTGAGAGGAGGTGGTGAGAGGAGTGAGTGAGGGGGAGGTGGTGAGGGGAGGTGGTGAGGAGAGGTTGGTGAGGGGAGGGTGAGTGAGGAGTGAGTGAGGGGGAGGTGGTGAGGGGAGGTGGTGAGGGGAGAAGTGAGTGAGGGGAGGGTGGTGAGGGGAGGTGGTGAGGGAGGGTGGTGAGGAGTGAGTGAGTGAGGGGAGGGTGGTGGTGAGGGGTGGTGGTGAGGGGAGGTGGTGAGGGGAGGGTGGTGAGGAGTGAGTGAGTGAGAGGAGTACCAGAAGCAGGTGGTGGAGGAGAAGTGAGTGAGGGGAGGGTGGTGAGTGAGTGAGTGAGAGAAGGTGGTGAGGGGAGTGAGTGAGAGGGAGGTGGTGAGGGGAGGTGGTGAGGAGTGAGTGAGAAGTTGGTGAGTGAGAGGAGTACCAGAAGCAGGTGGTGGAGAAGTGAGTGAGGGGAGGGTGGTGAGGGGAGGGTGGTGAGGAGTGAGTGAGGGGAGGTTGGTGAGGAGTGAGGGGAAGGTGGTGAGGGGAGTTGGTGAGAAGTGAGTGAGAGGTGGTGAGGGGAGGGTGGTGAGGGGTGAGTGAGGGGAGGTTGGTGAGGAGTGAGGGGAAGGTGGTGAGGGGAGTTGGTGAGGAGTGAATGAGTGAGAAGTTGGTGAGAAGTTGGTGAGGGGGAGGAGTACCAGAAGCAGGTGGTGGAGGAGAAGTGAGTGAGGGGGAAGTGGTGAGGGGAGGGTGGTGAGGAGTGAGTGAGGGGGAAGTGGTGAGGGGAGGGTGGTGAGGAGTGAGTGAGAAGTTGGTGAGGGGGAGGAGGACCAGAAGCAGGTGGTGGAGGAGAAGTGAGTGAGGGGAGGTGGTGAGGAGTAAGTGAGGGGAAGTTGGTGAGAAGTTGGTGAGGGGAGGTGGTGAGGGGAGGGTGAGTGAGTGAGTGAGAAGTTGGTGAGGAGAAGTGAGTGAGGGGGAGGTGGTGAGGGGAGATGGTGAGGGGAGGTTGGTGAGTAGAAGTGAGTGAGAAGTGAGTGAGGGGGAGGTGATGAGGGGAGGTTGGTGAGGAGTGAGGGGAAGGTGGTGAGGAGAGGTTGGTGAGGGGAAGTTGGTGAGGGGAGGTTGGTGAGGAGAGGGTGGTTAGGGGAGGTTGGTGAGTAGAAGTGAGTGAGAAGTGAGTGAGGGGGAGGTGGTGAGGGGGAGGTGGTGAGGGGAGGGGGAGTGAGTGAGGGGAGGTTGGTGAGGAGAGGGTGGTGAGTGAGAAGTTGGTGAGAAGTTGGTGAGGAAAGGTGGTGAGGGGGAGGTGGTGAGTGAGCAGTTGGTGAAGAGAAGGTGGTGAGTGAGAAATTGGTGAGGGGAGGTTGGTGAGGGAGAGGTCGTGAGGGGAAGTTGGTGAGGAGAGGTGGTGAGGGGGAGGTGGTGAGTGAGCAGTTGGTGAGGAGAAGGTGGTGAGGGGAGGTTGGTGAGGGGGAGTGAGTGAGGGGGAGGTGGTGAGGGTAGGTTGGTGAGGGGAAGTTGGTGAGGAGAGGTGGTGAGGGGGAGGTGGTGAGTGAGAAGTTGGTGAAGAGAAGGTGGTAAGTGAGAAATTGGTGAGGGGAGGTTGGTGAGGGGAAGGTGGTGAGGAGAAGTTGGTGAGGGGGAGTGAGTGAGGGGGAGGTCGTGAGGGGAAGTTGGTGAGGAGAGGTGGTGAGGGGGAGGTGGTGAGTGAGCAGTTGGTGAGGAGAAGGTGGTGAGGGGAGGTTAGTGAGGGGGAGTGAGTGAGGGGGAGGTGGTGAGGGTAGGTTGGTGAGGGGAAGTTGGTGAGGGGGAGTGAGTGAGGGGGAGGTGGTGAGTGAGCAGTTGGTGAGGAGAAGGTGGTGAGGGGAGGTTAGTGAGGGGGAGTGAGTGAGGGGGGGTGGTGAGGGGAGGTTGGTGAGGGGAGGTGGTGAGGGGGAGGTGGTGAGTGAGAAGTTGGTGAGGGGAGGTTGGTGAGGAGAGGTGGTGAGGGGGAGGTGGTGAGTGAGAAGTTGGTGAGGGGAAGTTGGTGAGGAGAGGTGGTGAGGGGGAGGTGGTGAGTGAGAAGTTGGTGAAGAGAAGGTGGTAAGTGAGAAATTGGTGAGGGGAGGTTGGTGAGGGGAAGGTGGTGAGGAGAGGTTAGTGAGGGGGAGTGAGTGAGGGGGGGGGGGTGGTGAGGGGAGGTTGGTGAGGGGAAGTTGGTGAGGGGGAGGTGGTGAGTGAGAAGTTGGTGAAGAGAAGGTGGTGAGTGAGAAATTGGTGAGGGGAGGTTGGTGAGGGGAAGGTGGTGAGGAAAAGTTGGTGAGGGGGAGGTGGTGAGTGAGAAGTTGGTGAAGAGAAGGTGGTGAGTGAGAAATTGGTGAGGGGAGGTTGGTGAGGGGAAGGTGGTGAGGAGAAGTTGGTGAGGGGGAGGTGGTGAGTGAGAAGTTGGTGAAGAGAAGGTGGTGAGTGAGAAATTGGTGAGGGGAGGTTGGTGAGGGGAAGGTGGTGAGGAGAAGTTGGTGAGGGGGAGGTGGTGAGTGAGAAGTTGGTGAAGAGAAGGTGGTGAGTGAGAAATTGGTGAGGGGAGGTTGGTGAGGGGAAGGTGGTGAGGCGAGGGTTGGTGGATGTTCTGAGGAGGAGCCGTAGCCCCTGGCTCGCTAGGTAGAAGGCAGTAACAGAGTGTGTGGATCTTCTTGGTTCTTTCGGTAAAGTAACGTAGAAGGGAAATAATAAAATAATAAAAATAAAACATAACAAAATAATTCTCACGACGTTTCGGCTGCAACGCAAGCAGCCGTCCTCAGGTGAAGAAGTGAGTGAGTAGAAGTTTCTAGTAGTTCACAGATGCCCATACGCACACACACAGATCCACTTGTCTTGCAGAGCTGACTTGACCTCACATACACTGACACTGTCTGGGGTGGCCACAGCTCATTGCCCCCCTCCCCCCCATTCAATGTACAAACTACTCATGAGATTATTAAAGACGAGAAGCAGACAAGAGACAGAGGTGTAGCGAGAAGAGAGAGATGCGGAGGAGAAGAGGTGGGGGTGCAGTGAGTTGAAATAAGATGTTTGGATGATACGCAGATGTCGTCACGTGACAGAAGAGAGACGCAGACAATATTTATAGATGAGATTGATTTTCTGGGTTTTTTTTGTTTGTTAATTATATTGTAATGTTAATTCGAATCAAAATTTTTGACTATATCTGGTCCACACCTATCGGTATTGTGAATCATTCTCCCCATCTTAAGCTACTGGGCATCCTACGCTTTTGCTTTTGAGCCATATATGGCTCGCGAGCCATATATGGCTCTTCCGGTGACGGCATATGGCTCCCAGACAATTTTGAGTTGAAAAAAATAAAATAAAAAATCAGTTTGGAACTGATTTTAAAATACTTGTGATATTGCTTAATAATACTGTGTCATTTTAAAGTAAACAGAAATTAGTTTTGAACATAAATTTCACGGGTCACGGGGCCTCAACGCCTGCACGAAGCTCAACCTCACCACGTACGAACCAGACTACAAGGCCATCAGCAAAACCACGCGGCACCAGAAGTCGCATTAAAAGTAATACACATTTAATTTATTATACTATTAAAATACTATATGGCTCTCAATGCAATACATTTAGAAATATTTGGCTTTTATGGCTCTCCCAGTCAAAAAGGTTCCCGACCCCTGGTCTAGCGCCACGGCTGCACGCTCTCACGCTCACAGTCTTGCACTCATTCACACAGTCTCACACTCACCCAGTAGCACACTCACAAAGACAAAGACCCCCCGCATAGCCTGTAACAGACTGTTGGGGCAAGTGCTGTGAGCGAGTAGCACCTATGAAGGCCGGCACGGCGCACTAGGGGGGTGGGTGACCAGCACCACGACAGTCTAACACTCATTCAGAATCAGAAGATTTATTTATACTGAAAGAATCCGATGAGCTATAAACTCATTGTTACAGATATCCAGTCGGGGGGGGGAGGGTCAGAAAGTTACAACAACAATACAAAATCACGATAGGAGCGCAAAGTTTAGCAAAGGTAAGCAAATCACTTTAAAAAATAAATATTACCAGGTCAAGTCCACTGAGCTATTAAGTTATTTTTCAGAAGCGATCTGGCCACAAATGATAGCTCAACAAAGTGGCTTATCATGTGGAAATGTATAGCAGCGACACGCACTCATACGCTCACTCACACTCTCACTCAATGTCACAGGCTTACACACGCACACACACACACAGGGTTGAGTCACGGAGAAAATCCGATGAATTCTTAGCCCTGAAGAGCATTACATGGCATTAGGGCGTTTGTACAGCATCGCCATCATCATCAGCAGCAGCAGCAGAATACTCATCAGCAGACGCATCATCAGCAGAAGGATAATCATCAGCAGCAGAAGCATCATCATCAGTAGCACAATCATCATCATCAGTAGCACAATCATCATCATCATCATCAGTAGCACAATCATCATCATCAGTAGCACAATCATCATCATCAGCCCCGCCTACTTTTACACAGCCACGCCCAAAGGGTCTAACCACTGGACAACCATTGTTTAAATTCCCGCAAAGTGCTATTGTATAGACTAGGTTGTTGCCAGCAACCACTGTTGGCATGGGCTCTCCCTCAGGGCAGCAGTGAGCAGAGCACGGCTCTCCCTCAGGGCAGCAGTGGACAGAGCATGGCTCTCCCTCAGGGCAGCAATGGACAGAGCATGGCTCTCCCTCAGGGCAGCAGTGGACAGAGCATGGCTCTCCCTCAGGGCAGCAATGGACAGAGCACGGCTTTGCCTTACTCTCACTCACCCGTCACTTGCTCGCGGTCACGTGACGCACTTCAACCAATCCGGGGGCGTACATGTTTGGGAAGGGCGCACCTCTGGTTGGCTGCTTGCTCGCGGTCACGTGACGCACTTCAACCAATCCGTGCCGCGTTAATCACAGAATCACAGAGTCACAGAGCTGGGTGTTCATATATTAGTATTTTCTCGACCCCCGTGGGATGATGGGCTGAGTAACCCCCCCCCCCCTTCCTTCCAACTAGACTTTAAAGTCGCAAGCTTCCGATTACGAACCGATTGCTCTACCGCTGAGCCACCGGGCAGAAATGAATCTGAATTTAAATTAAAACTCAACAAAACTATTTCTATGCTACCAGGTAAGGTTCGCTGAGTTATGTAGCTCTTTTTTCAGAAGCGACGTGGCTATCACAAATTATAGCTCAACGAAAGTGGCTTATCACGTGGACATTATAGCAGCCAAATACTCTAAACGCGTGAAGTTGATTCTAAATGTGGAGGGGAAACCCGAAGGACCCGGGAAAAAATCAGAGAGAGAGACACACAAACTCCAAATATACAGCAGGCGTCGTGGTCGAACCCACAACCTCCTGCATACCAGGCGAGGTACAGGAGTTAACATCTCCTAGCCACCGTGGCAACTGAACCCCAATTGACCGCGTCGACACTGACAGCTGCTGGTGCACTCTGGCGCGATGTATTTAAGCGCTTAGCCTGTGTGGTGGTGGTGGGGCTACGCTGCACGTGGCGGTCTGTAATCCAGCACTGGTGGAGGAAGAAGCAGCAGCAGCGGGGGCTAGTGGATCACACACAGATGCTATTGTGGAACTCCTCTTCCTCGTGGGTGGACGGCCAGGAGAAGGCGCTATGGCAAAGTGTGGGCCACTGTCATGTCAGCTGGCCCTTGGGTAGGATGGGATGGAGTGTTGCTCCCTCCCACGCGTGTAATAAACACTCGTTAATTTGATTGGTTCTTTCGGTAAAGTCACGTAGAAGGGAAATAATAAAATGATAAAAATTCAACATACTAAAATACAATTATGGTATTTTTATTATTTTAGTATTTCCCTTCTACGTGACTTTACCGAAATAACCAAGAAGATGAATCCCTGCAGTCACGAAACCTTTAAATCGAAATTTAACTCATTAATTTGCTGAAAGCACTCACTCATTCACCCACCCACTCACTCACCCGCTCACTTACCCGCTCACCCACTCATTCACCTATTCACCCACTAATTCACCCATTCACCCACCCATTCACCCACTCGCTCACCCACTCGCTCGCTCATCCACTCATTCACCCACTCGCTCGCTCACCCACTCATTCTTGGAATTATTGCCTGGTGAAACCAAATCAACATTGAAACGTGAACACAGTTCAAAACCAAACAGTCCGGTGGAAAACTGGGCAGTTGACAACCACGCGTGGTGGATGCTGTGTGGTGATGCTGTGTATTGGATGCTGCGTGATGGATGTTGTGTTGTTGATGGTTATGCTGTGTGTTGATGGTTATGCTGTATGGTGGATGTTGTGTGTTGATTGTTATGCTGTATGGTGGATCTTGTGTGTTTATGGTTATGCTGTGTGGTGCATGCTGTGTGTTGATGGTTATGCTGTATGGTGTATGCTGTGTGTTGATGGTTATGCTGAGTGTTGATGGTTATGCTGTGTGGTGGTGAATGCAGGATGGAGAGGGACGCGATGTATGCGTCCAAGAAGGCTGGGAGGGCGACGGTTCGGGTGGAGCTCCGGAAGAAATACAGACTGCCCAAGGTATAAATACAGACTGCCCAAGGTATAAATACAGACTGCCCAAGGTATAAATACAGACTGCCCAAGGTATAAATACAGACTGCCCAAGGTATAAATACAGACTGCCCAAGGTATAAATACAGACTCCCCAAGGTATAAATACAGACTGCCCAAGGTATAAATACAGACTGCCCAAGGGATAAATACAGACTGCCCAAGGGATAAATACAGACTGCCCAAGGGATAAATACAGACTGCCCAAGGTATAAATACAGACTGCCCAAGGTATAAATACAGACTGCCCAAGGTATAAATACAGACTGCCCAAGGGATAAATACAGACTGCCCAAGGTATAAATACAGACTCCCCAAGGTATAAATACAGACTGCCCAAGGGATAAATACAGACTGCCCAAGGTATAAATACAGACTGCCCAAAGTATAAATACAGACTGCCCAAAGTATAAATACAGACTCCCCAAGGTATAAATACAGACTGCCCAAAGTATAAATACAGACTCCCCAAGGTATAAATACAGACTGCCCAAGGGATAAATACAGACTGCCCAAGGTATAAATACAGACTCCCCAAGGTATAAATACAGACTGCCCAAGGGATAAATACAGACTGCCCAAGGTATAAATACAGACTGCCCAAAGTATAAATACAGACTGCCCAAAGTATAAATACAGACTCCCCAAGGTATAAATACAGACTGCCCAAAGTATAAATACAGACTCCCCAAGGTATAAATACAGACTGCCCAAAGTATAAATACAGACTCCCCAAGGTATAAATACAGACTGCCCAAAGTATAAATACAGACTCCCCAAGGTATAAATACAGACTGCCCAAGGGATAAATACAGACTCCCCAAGGTATAAATACAGACTGCCCAAGGTATAAATACAGACTGCCCAAGGTATAAATACAGACTGCCCAAGGTATAAATACAGACTGCCCAAGGGATAAATACAGACTGCCCAAGGTATAAATACAGACTGCCCAAGGTATAAATACAGACTGCCCAAAGTATAAATACAGACTGCCCAAGGTATAAATACAGACTGCCCAAGGTATAAATACAGACTGCCCAAGGTATAAATACAGACTGCCCAAGGTATAAATACAGACTGCCCAAGGTATAAATACAGACTGCCCAAGGTATAAATACAGACTGCCCAAGGGATAAATACAGACTGCCCAAGGTATAAATACAGACTGCCCAAGGGATAAATACAGACTGCCCAAGGGATAAATACAGACTGCCCAAGGGATAAATACAGACTGCCCAAGGGATAAATACAGACTGCCCAAGGTATAAATACAGACTGCCCAAGGTATAAATACAGACTGCCCAAGGGATAAATACAGACTGCCCAAGGTATAAATACAGACTGCCCAAGGTATAAATACAGACTGCCCAAGGTATAAATACAGACTGCCCAAGGTATAAATACAGACTGCCCAAGGTATAAATACAGACTGCCCAAGGTATAAATACAGACTGCCCAAGGGATAAATACAGACTGCCCAAGGTATAAATACAGACTCCCCAAGGTATAAATACAGACTGCCCAAGGGATAAATACAGACTGCCCAAGGGATATATACAGACTGCCCAAGGTATAAATACAGACTGCCCAAGGTATAAATACAGACTGCCCAAGGTATAAATACAGACTGCCCAAGGTATAAATACAGACTCCCCAAGGTATAAATACAGACTCCCCAAGGTATAAATACAGACTGCCCAAGGGATAAATACAGACTCCCCAATGTATAAATACAGACTCCCCAAGGTATAAATACAGACTCCCCAAGGTATAAATACAGACTGCCCAAGGGATAAATACAGACTGCCCAAGGTATAAATACAGACTGCCCAAGGTATAAATACAGACTGCCCAAAAGATAAATACAGACTGCCCAAGGTATAAATACAGACTGCCCAAGGGATAAATACAGACTCCCCAAGGTATAAATACAGACTGCCCAAGGTATAAATACAGACTCCCCAAGGTATAAATACAGACTGCCCAAGGTATAAATACAGACTGCCCAAGGTATAAATACAGACTGCCCAAGGTATAAATACAGACTGCCCAAAGTATAAATACAGACTCCCCAAGGTATAAATACAGACTGCCCAAGGTATAAATACAGACTGCCCAAAGTATAAATACAGACTCCCCAAGGTATAAATACAGACTGCCCAAGGTATAAATACAGACTGCCCAAAGTATAAATACAGACTGCCCAAGGGATAAATACAGACTGCCCAAGGTATAAATACAGACTGCCCAAGGTATAAATACAGACTGCCCAAGGTATAAATACAGACTCCCCAAGGTATAAATACAGACTGCCCAAGGTATAAATACAGACTGCCCAAAGTATAAATACAGACTGCCCAAGGGATAAATACAGACTGCCCAAGGTATAAATACAGACTGCCCAAGGTATAAATACAGACTGCCCAAGGTATAAATACAGACTGCCCAAGGTATAAATACAGACTGCCCAAGGTATAAATACAGACTCCCCAAGGTATAAATACAGACTCCCCAAGGTATAAATACAGACTGCCCAAGGTATAAATACAGACTGCCCAAGGTATAAATACAGACTCCCCAAGGGATAAATACAGACTGCCCAAAGTATAAATACAGACTGCCCAAGGTATAAATACAGACTGCCCAAAGTATAAATACAGACTGCCCAAGGTATAAATACAGACTGCCCAAAGTATAAATACAGACTCCCCAAGGTATAAATACAGACTGCCCAAGGTATAAATACAGACTGCCCAAAGTATAAATACAGACTGCCCAAGGGATAAATACAGACTGCCCAAGGTATAAATACAGACTGCCCAAGGTATAAATACAGACTGCCCAAGGTATAAATACAGACTGCCCAAGGTATAAATACAGACTGCCCAAGGTATAAATACAGACTGCCCAAGGTATAAATACAGACTCCCCAAGGTATAAATACAGACTGCCTAAGGTATAAATACAGACTGCCCAAGGTATAAATACAGACTCCCCAAGGTATAAATACAGACTGCCCAAGGTATAAATACAGACTGCCCAAGGTATAAATACAGACTGCCCAAGGTACAAATACAGACTGCCCAAGGTATAAATACAGACTGCCCAAGGTATAAATACAGACTGCCCAAGGTATAAATACAGACTGCCCAAGGTATAAATACAGACTCCCCAAGGTATAAATACAGACTGCCCAAGGTATAAATACAGACTGCCCAAGGTATAAATACAGACTGCCCAAGGTACAAATACAGACTGCCCAAGGTATAAATACAGACTGCCCAAGGTATAAATACAGACTGCCCAAGGTATAAATACAGACTGCCCAAGGTATAAATACAGACTGCCCAAGGGATAAATACAGACTGCCCAAGGTATAAATACAGACTGCCCAAGGTATAAATACAGACTCCCCAAGGTATAAATACAGACTGCCCAAGGGATAAATACAGACTGCCCAAGGTATAAATACAGACTGCCCAAGGGATAAATACAGACTCCCCAAGGTATAAATACAGACTGCCCAAGGTATAAATACAGACTCCCCAAGGTATAAATACAGACTGCCCAAGGTATAAATACAGACTGCCCAAGGTATAAATACAGACTGCCCAAGGTATAAATACAGACTGCCCAAGGTATAAATACAGACTGCCCAATGTATAAATACAGACTGCCCAAGGTATAAATACAGACTGCCCAAGGTATAAATACAGACTGCCCAAGGTATAAATACAGACTGCCCAAGGTATAAATACAGACTGCCCAATGTATAAATACAGACTGCCCAAGGGATAAATACAGACTGCCCAAGGGATAAATACAGACTGCCCAAGGGATAAATACAGACTGCCCAAGGTATAAATACAGACTCCCCAAGGTATAAATACAGACTGCCCAAGGGATAAATACAGACTGCCCAAGGTATAAATACAGACTGCCCAAAGTATAAATACAGACTGCCCAAGGGATAAATACAGACTGCCCAAGGGATAAATACAGACTGCCCAAGGGATAAATACAGACTGCCCAAGGGATAAATACAGACTGCCCAAGGTATAAATACAGACTCCCCAAGGTATAAATACAGACTGCCCAAGGGATAAATACAGACTGCCCAAGGTAGAGGTGAAAAGGGGGAGAGAGGAGATTTGGCGGTGGTGGCAGTGATGTTGTGGTGGTGGTCGTTTGGATGTTGGTGGTGCTGATCTTGGTGGTGGTGGTTGTTTGGATGGTGATGGAGGCAGTGATGTTGTGGTCATGGGAATGACAACAGGACCTACTGCGGACCTCTTCTGCCCACTATCGGCTTGCCATCTGTAAGACACCTCTGTGCCATTCTTTCACCGCGGTGATGGGCATCCAACCTAGAACCCCCGCTTATAAACCCACAATGCCCTCGTCTCAGCCTGCTGATGTAAGTTGCAAGAGAGAATGTCATCATCGCTTGCAGCTGGGGTTGGCACCGTCCCCCCATCTCCGCCCTCTCGATGCCGATGAGAAATGGGTGAGGTTCACGTCTGTAGCTCATGCAGCTGCTATGTAAGTACGTATAACTTGTGTCGCATCATACGTAGCAAATCGTGCTAATCGGAGGGGCGGGTTCTCCGGATAGGCATTGGGCCTACCCAGAGAACCCTGGCTGGTGCAGGAGGTGTTCCAACAATCTCATTCTTACTGTCTACAACTTGATGAATCACTGCTGCTGATGCTGATGATGATGTCGCCAACATCCCAACCAAGACTGGATTATGGACCGGGCCAGTGGGCCCAGTGCCTCGGGGCCTCGGACTGCCAGGGGGCATCCAAGCCTCAGGCCGCGTGCGGTGCGTGGCCCAAGACTTACGAGGGAAGTTGAACGCCAGGGCCCTCAGTGCGCACAGCGCAAGCTGACCACTAGGCCCCCTGGGTGCTTATAGCGTGAGCTAACCACTAGGGCCCCTGGGACCCCTCAGTGCTTATGT